TGCCTCACGAACTTCCCCCACACTCACAACTGGCTCTTCCTCACTCCTACAAGATGTTATTCCTCTTGCCCTATACCACGAAATCACAGCTTCCCTATCTTCATCAACATTTAACAATTCCTCAAAATATTCCTTCCATCTTCCCAATACCTCTAACTCTCCATTTAATAACTCTCCTCTCCTATTTTTAACTGACAAATCCATTTGTTCTCTAGCTTTCTTAACTTGTTAATCTCACTCCAAAACTTTTTCTTATTTTCAACAAAATTTGTTGATAACATCTCACCCACTCTCTCATTTGCTCTCTTTTTACATTGCTTCACCACTCTCTTTAACTTCTCTCTTTTTCTCCATATACTCTTTCCCTCCTTGCATCACTTCTACTTTGTAAAAACTTCTCATATGCTAACTTTTTCTCCCTTACTACTCTCTTACATCATCATTCCACCAATCGCTCCTCTTCCCTCCTGCACCCACTTCCTGTAACCACAAACTTCTGCTGAACACTCTAACACTACATTTTTAAACCTACCCATACCTCTTCGACCCCATTGCCTATGCTCTTATTAGCCCATCTATCCTCCAATAGCTGTTTATATCTTACCCTAACTGCCTCCTCTTTTAGTTTATAAACCTTCACCTCTCTCTTCCCTGATGCTTCTATTCTCCTTGTTATCCCATCTACCTTTTACTCTCAGTATAGCATACAACTAGAAAGTGATCTGATATATCTGTGGCCCCTCTATAAACATGTACATCCTGAAGTCTACTCAACAGTCTTTTATCTACCAATACATAATCCAACAAACTACTGTCATTTCGCCCTACATCATATCGTGTATACTTATTTATCCTCTTTTTCTTAAAATATGTATTACCTATAACTAAACCCTTTCTATACAAAGTCAATCAAAGGGCTCCCATTATCATTTACACCTGGCACCCCAAACTTACCTACCACACCCTCTCTAAAAGTTTCTCCTACTTTAGCATTCAAGTCCCCTACCACAATTACTCTCTCACTTGGTTCAAAGGCTCCTATACATTCACTTAACATCTCCCAAAATCTCTCTCTCTCCTCTGCATTCCTCTCTCTCCAGGTGCATACACGCTTATTATGACCCACTTCTCGCATCCAACCTTTACTTTAATCCACATAATTCTTGAATTTACACATTCATATTCTCTTTTCTCCTTCCATAACTGATCATTTAACATTACTGCTACCCTTCCTTTGCTCTAACTCTCTCAGATACTCCAGATTTAATCCCATTTATTTCCCCCCACTGAAACTCTCCTACCCCCTTCAGCTTTGTTTCGCTTAGGGCCAGGACATCCAACTTCTTTTCATTCATAACATCAGCAATCATCTGTTTTCTTGTCATCCGCACTACATCCACGCACATTTAAGCAACCCATTTTTATAAAGTTTTTCTTCTTCTCTTTTTTAGTAATTGTATACAGGAGAAGGGGTTACTAGCCCATTGCTCCCGGCATTTTAGTCGCCTCATACGACACGCATGGCTTACGGAGGAAAGATTCTTTTCCACTTCCCCATGGACAATAGAAGAAATAAAAAAGAACAAGAGCTATTTAGAAAAAAGAGAAAAACCTAGATGTATGTATATATATATATGCATGTGCGTGTCTGTGAAGTGTGACCAAGGTGTAAGTAGGAGTAGCAAGATATCCCTGTTATCTTAGCGTGTTTATGAGACAGAAAAAGAAACCAGCAATCCTGTAAATTTCTCTCATTAAAATAAATAATCTCTACAAAATTGTCATTTATGTAGTAGAAAATTAAATTACTACTAATGTTATTCTATCATTAGTTTATTAATATCTAACTTTTAAATGCTCAATGGCACATAGATTTAAAGCAGGTATGGAGGAAGTGATTATGTTCAGATATGGGGGTGAACTTGTTGGTGGATGGGTGTATGAAAGACACAGTGGACCATAGATTTGATGAAGGGAAAATGGTGGGTTTTGCATTGAGGCATCTGTGGAGACAAAGAACTTGGGTTATGAATGTTGAAGTGAGGAGGAGGAGGAGGAGGAAGTTGGAGGCAGTGAGGATGTCGCATCCGAGGGAAATGTATAGTGTAAATGTTATGCAGAGAATTAATATCTTGGAGATTAGGAGGAGATGTGGAGTTACTAAAAGTATTATCTAGAGGGCTGAGGAGGGGTTGATAAGGCAGTTCAAACATTTAGAGAGGATGGAGTGAAATAGGATGACTTGGAAGGTGTATAAATCTGTATTGGAGGGAAGGGGGGGGGGTTATGAGTCACCCTAGGAAAGGTTGGAGGTAGGGGCTATAGGAGGTTTTTGTTTGTGAGGGCTTGGACATCCATCAGGCATGTGCGAGTGTGATAGATAAGAGTGGTGACAGATGGTTTTTGGGATTTACTGTACTGTTTGGAGTGTGAGCAAAGTGACATTTTGTGAAGCAGTTCAGGTAAACTGGTTAGCCGGAGGTGGGAAGTACAGTGCCTGCAGTCTGAAGGATGGGTGGGGACATTTCCAGTTTGGGGAGGCATCTGAACTGTAGTATCTGCACACCTCTGGTAAGAGCCTACCTTGGTGAGAGATGCCCAGTGTATTAAAAGCAAAAAGTTCCAAAGTTGGTTCTTCCTTGATTGACCAAAGTCAGACTTTCCTGATGTAAGCTAACAAAAACATTGTTATAGACAGAAGTTTGCCTGATTTGTGAACAGCAATGTTGCAGCATAAGTCTTCACTTATTTCTTAAATCTTGTCCGTGTGTCTGGTTCTCATCATATTATTAAACAAAATAGCTCATTGACATTAACACTAATATTTTTTTGGCATAAGAATTATCCTGTTTATTTTCAGGCTTCTCTACTAAACTGATTTTAACATATGGTAATTTTGTTTAGAAAAAAATTGCTACTATGCTATTTGCCCCTTGATGCTGATGAAAGGCTCTTGATCTAAGGAATTGGAATTATTTTCAGCTTCCCTAGACCAAACCTAATTATTTATTTCCCATGTGCTCTATGACCTTTATAGATTCATGCTTCCCCATAATGATAATAATAATACTACTAATAATACTACTACTACTAATAATAATGTTCTTTACTACTACTACTACTAATAATAATTATAATATAAATATTAATACTACTACTGCTGCTAATAATAATAACAGTGTTTATTTGAGACTGTTTTACATTTCTAAAATGTTAATGATGTATAATTTCCACTATAATATCATGATAATCTTCATCATCCCAGTTGTAAATATTAATTATACAGTAATATAGGCAAACAGCATGATATTAGAGATTTGGTATTTTAAAGTAGTGTTAATATACTGATCCTTCAAGAGGGTTCCTTTGATGCTGGTCAGTCTCTTGCTGCCCTTTACCCTTTCACCATCCACTGCCCCGCTCTTCTCCGTAACCTACCAGTATTGTTTTACAATTATTTTTAACACTGAAAAATGCAGCAAAGTTGTAAATTTTCTCCCTGTTTTCAGCATAACACAATACTGATATTTTTTTTCAGTAATTTTGTGTGCCTTAAATTTGATATCCATCTGAACACCACCTAGTATCCTTATATCCTTGGCTAGCTGAACACCACCTAGTATCCTTATATCCTTGGCTAGCTGAACACCACCTAGTATCCTTATATCCTTGGCTAGCTGAACACCACCTAGTATCCTTATATCCTTGGCTAGCTGAACACCACCTAGTATCCTTATATCCTTAGCTAGCTGAACACCACCTAGTATCCTTATATCCTTGGCTAGCTGAACACCACCTAGTATCCTTATATCCTTGGCTAGCTGAACACCACCTAGTATCCTTATATCCTTGGCTAGCTGAACACCACCTAGTATCCTTATATCCTTGGCTAGCTGAACACCACCTAGTATCCTTATATCCTTGGCTAGCTTAACACCACCTAGTATCCTTGTATACTTGGCTAGCTGAACACCACCTAGTATCCTTATATCCTTGGCTAGCTGAACACCACCTAGTATCCTTATATCCTTGGCTAGCTTAACACCACCTAGTATCCTTGTATACTTGGCTAGCTGAACACCACCTAGTATCCTTATATCCTTGGCTAGCTGAACACCACCTAGTATCCTTATATCCTTGGCTAGCTGAACACCACCTAGTATCCTTATATACTTGGCTAGCTGAACACCACCTAGTATCCTTGAATACTTGGCTAGCTGAACACCACCTAGTATCCTTGTATACTTGGCTAGCTGAACACCACCTAGTATCCTTGTATACTTTGCTAGCTGAACACCACCTAGTATCCTTGTATACTTGGCTAGCTGAACACCACCTAGTATCCTTGTATACTTGGCTAGCTGAACACCACCTAGTATCCTTGTATACTTGCCTAGCTGAACACCACCTAGTATCCTTGTATACTTGCCTAGCTGAACACCACCTAGTATCCTTGTATACTTGCCTAGCTGAACACCACCTAGTATCCTTGTATACTTGCCTAGCTGAATACCACCTAGTATCCTTGTATACTTGGCTAGCTGAACACCACCTAGTATCCTTATATCCTTGGCTAGCTGAACACCACCTAGTATCCTTGAATACTTGGCTAGCTGAACACCACCTAGTATCCTTGTATACTTGGCTAGCTGAACACCACCTAGTATCCTTGTATACTTGGCCAGCTGAACACCACCTAGTATCCTTATATACTTGGCCAGCATAGACACAGCATATATGGAGTGCAGATTATTAGAGAAATCTGCTCATATGTCAGTTATGTCCAATCATGGTTTAATAATCTGGAACTGGAAGAAATTTCTTTTGATATTCACACATAGTATAAATTTTGAGAATCAGCAGTATTTGTTCTGTTTGATAATTGCCAAATTCTCCTTATGTGAATTGTTTTAAAGACAGAACTTATCCACACTATATGAAATTGACTAAGTTTATGTATGTGATAAAAAATTAACATTTAATTTTTTGTGCTACACCAGGTTGTGAAGCTTCAGAAATAGTGTGTGATGGTGGAACACGGTGTATCTCACAATTGCAAGTTTGTAACGGTGTGTGGGACTGTAGCGATCAGTCGGATGAACATAACTGTCCTCCTCCACCAGGTAAGTAAAGCACATGTATATATTCATTTTTTTTATTTCTGTTTATATGCATTTTTGTGTACTGTTGGTGATGAATTTGTATAAAGTAATTTACAAGTATTGTTCTGTAACTACATGTGCATTAGTCATTGTATTCACTGAGTTGTACTCTACAAGTTGTGTGTGCTGGGCTTGAGGCTCAGCTCTTGGCCCTGCCTCCTAGACTACTTTGGTCAGCATCACTGAATCTGGCCTCTTGGGCCTTATATCTACACTTGAAGCTGAATATTGAGTTTTCCTCCACCACTGCCTAATCCAAGTCATTGCACTTTTTAACCATCCTGAGATCTTCCACCTGTGTTCCCATAATCCTGGTCCTCTTAATTCAGTCTGGAGTTATCTGTGCCAAAGGTTGTTGACATGTTAATTTCTTATAACTCTTCATGATGCATTAATCTCAGTTATGGTATTGACTTCTTTAAAAGTTATTAAAATTTCTTCAACCTTCATGTGCTTGACTAAGTGTGGTGATGGTGTGGGAGTGGTGATGGTGTGGGTGTGGTGATGGTGTGGTTGTGGTGATGGTGTGGGGTGGTGATAGTGTGGAAGTGGTGATGGTGTGGGAGTGGTGATGGTGTGGGTGTGGTGATGGTGTGGGGTGGTGATGGTGTGGTTGTGGTGATGGTTGTGGGGTGGTGATGGTGTGGAAGTGGTGATGGTGTGGGAGTGGTGATGGTGTGGGTGTGGTGATGGTGTGGGGTGGTGATGGTGTGGGGTGGTGATGGTGTGGGGTGGTGTGGGTGTGGTGATGGTGTGAGAGTTGTGAGGGTGTGGGAGTGGTGATGGTGTGGATGTGGTGTAGGTGTGGTGAGGGTTTGGGGGTGGTTGTGGGTGTGGTGATGGTGTAGTAGTGAGGGTGTGGGAGTGGTGTGGGTGTGGTGATGGTGTGGGAGTGGTGATGGTTGGGTGTGGTGATGGTGTGGGTGTGGTGAGGTTTTGGGGTGATGGTGTGAGTGGTGATGGGTGTGTGATTGGTGAGGGTGTGGTGTGGGAGAATGATGATATGGGTGTGGTGATGGTGTGGGATTGGTGAGGGTGTGGTGTGCGTGTGGTGTGGAAGTGGTTTGGAAGTGGGTTGGGTGTGGTGAGGGTGAGGGTGTGGGTGTGGTGAGGGTGTGTGGAGTGGTGAGGGTGTGGAAGTGTGGTGGTGTAGGAGTGGTGAGGGTGTGGGAGTGGTGTGGGTGTGGTGATGGTGTGGGAGTTGTGAGGGTGTGGAGTGATGGTGTGGGTGTGGTGGGAGGTGTGGGGGTGTTGTGGGTGGTGGTGATGGTGTAGGAGTGGTGGGGGTGTGGTGGGTGTGTGGGTGTGGGTGAGGGTGTGGAGTGGTGAATGTGTGGGTGAGGTGTGGGTGTGGTGTGTGGGTGTGGGTGGGGTGTGGTGTGTGTGTGAGGTGGGTGTGGGAGTGGTGAGGGTGTGGTGAGGGTGTGGGAGTGGTGAAGGGGTGTGTGTGTGGTGATGGTGTAGGAGTGGTGAGGGTGTGGGAGTGGTGTGGGTGTGGTGATGGTGTGCATGTGGTGATGGTGTGGGTTTGTAGTGATGGTGTGGGTGTGGTGAGGGTGTGGGAGGGGTGTTGTGGGTGTGGTGATGATGTAGGTGTGGGTGTGTGGTGAGGGTGTGGGTGTGGTGAGGGTGTGGGAGTGGTGTGGGTGTGGTGATGGTGTAGGAGTGGTGAGGGTGTGGGAGTGGTGTCGGTGTGGTGAGGGTGTGGGAGTGGTGATGGTGTGGGTGTGGTGATGGTGTGGGAGTTGAGGGTGTGGGTGTGGCGATGGTGTAGGAGTGGTGATGGTGTGGGAACAGTGTGGGTGTGGTGATGGTGTGGGAGTGGTGAAGGTGTGGGAGTGGTGTTGTGGGTGTGGTGATGGTTTAGGAGTGGTGAGGGTGTGGGAGTGGTGTGGGTGTGATGAAGGTGTGGGAGTGGTGAGGGTGTGGGAGTGGTGAAGGTGTGGGTGTGGTGAGGGTGTGGGAGAGGTGATGGTGTGTGTGTGGTGAGGGTGTGGGGTGGTGGTGTGGGTGTGGTGATGGTGTAGGAATGTTGAGGGTGTGGGAGTGGTGAGGGTGCGGGTGTGGTGAGGGTGCGGGTGTGGTGAGAGTGTGGGAGTAGGGAGGGTGTGGGTGTGGTGAGTGTGTGGAGTGGTGACTGACCAGTGGAGGTGGTGACTGACCAGTGATAGTGGTGACTGACCAGTGGTGGTGATTGACCAGTGGTAGTTGTGACTTACTAGTCGCGGTGGTGGTGAGTGAGCAGAGATAGTGGTGACTGACCATTGGTGGTGGTGACTGACCAGTGGTGGTGGTGATTGACCAGTAGTGGTGACTGACTAGTGGCACAGTGGTTACTGACCAGTGGCAGTGGTTACTGACCAGTGGTGGTGGTGACTGACCAGTGGTAGTGGTGATTGACCAGTGGTGGTGACTGACTAGTGGTAGTGGTTACTGACCAGTGGTAGTGGTGACTGACCAGTGGTGGTGGTGACTGACCAGTGGTGGTGGTGATTGACCAGTGGTGGTGGTGATTGACCAGTGGTGGTGGTGATTGACCAGTAGTGGTGACTGACTAGTGGTGGTGGTGACTGACCAGTGGTAGTGGTTACTGATCAGTGGTAGTGGTGACTGACCAGTGGTAGTGGTGACTGACCAGTGGTGGTGGTGACTGACCAGTTGTGGTGGTGACTGACCAGTGGTAGAGGTGACTGACCAATGGTAGTGGTGACTGACCAGTGGTGGTGGGACTGACCAGTGGTAGTGGTGACTGACCAGTGGTAATGGTTACTGACCAGTAGTAGTGGTTACTGACCAGTGGTAGTGGTTACTGACCAGTGGTAATAGTAACTGACCAGTGGTGGTGGTGACTGACCAGTGGTGGTGGTGGCTGACCAGTGGTAGTGGTGAATGACCAGTGGTGGTGGTGACTGACCAGTGGTAGTTGTTACTGACCTGTGGTGGTGGTGACTGACCAGTGGTAGTGGTGATTGACCAGTGGTGGTGACTGACTAGTGGTAGTGGTAACTGACCAGTGGTAGTGGTTACTGACCTGTGGTAGTGGTGACTGACCAGTGGTGGTGGTGACTGACCAGTGGTGGTGGTGACTGACTAGTGGTGGTGGTGACTGACCAGTGGTAGTGGTTACTGATCAGTGGTAGTGGTGACTGACCAGTGGTAGTGGTGACTGACCAGTGGTGGTGGTGACTGACCAGTGGTGGTGGTGACTGACCAGTGGTAGAGGTGACTGACCAATGGTAGTGGTGACTGACCAGTGGTGGTGGTGACTGACCAGTGGTAGTGGTGACTGACCAGTGGTAGTGGTGACTGACCAGTGGTGGTGATTGACCAGTGGTAGTGGTGACTTACTAGTCGCGGTGGTGGTGAGTGAGCAGAGATAGTGGTGACTGACCATTGGTGGTGGTGACTGACCAGTGGTGGTGGTGATTGACCAGTAGTGGTGACTGACTAGTGGCACAGTGGTTACTGACCAGTGGCAGTGGTTACTGACCAGTGGTGGTGGTGACTGACCAGTGGTAGTGGTGATTGAACAGTGGTGGTGACTGACTAGTGGTAGTGGTTACTGACCAGTGGTAGTGGTGACTGACCAGTGGTGGTGGTGACTGACCAGTGATGGTGGTGACTGACCAGTGGTAGTGATGACTGACCATTGGTGGTAGTGGTGACTAACCAGTGGTGCGGGTGGCTGACCAGTGGCAGTGGTGGTGGCTGACCAGTGGTAGTGGTTACTAACCAGTGGTGGCAGTGACTGACCAGTGGTGGTGGTGATTGACCAGTGGTGGTGGTGATTGACCAGTGGTGGTGGTGATTGACCAGTAGTGGTGACTGACTAGTGGTGGTGGTGACTGACCAGTGGTAGTGGTTACTGATCAGTGGTAGTGGTGACTGACCAGTGGTAGTGGTGACTGACCAGTGGTGGTGGTGACTGACCAGTGGTGGTGGTGACTGACCAGTGGTAGAGGTGACTGACCAATGGTAGTGGTGACTGACCAGTGGTGGTGGTGACTGACCAGTGGTAGTGGTGACTGACCAGTGGTAATGGTTACTGACCAGTAGTAGTGGTTACTGACCAGTGGTAGTGGTTACTGACCAGTGGTAATAGTAACTGACCAGTGGTGGTGGTGACTGACCAGTGGTGGTGGTGGCTGACCAGTGGTAGTGGTGAATGACCAGTGGTGGTGGTGACTGACCAGTGGTAGTTGTTACTGACCTGTGGTGGTGGTGACTGACCAGTGGTAGTGGTGATTGACCAGTGGTGGTGACTGACTAGTGGTAGTGGTAACTGACCAGTGGTAGTGGTTACTGACCTGTGGTAGTGGTGACTGACCAGTGGTGGTGGTGACTGACTAGTGGTGTTGGTGACTGACCAGTGGTAGTGGTTACTGATCAGTGGTAGTGGCTGCTGATCAGTGGTAGTGGTGACTGACCAGTGGTAGTGGTGACTGACCAGTGGTGGTGGTGACTGACCAGTGGTAGAGGTGACTGACCAATGGTAGTGGTGACTGACCAGTGGTAGTGGCTACTGATCAGTGGTAGTGGTGACTGACCAGTGGTAGTGGTGACTGACCAGTGGTGGTGGTGACTGACCAGTGGTAGAGGTGACTGACCAATGGTAGTGGTGACTGACCAGTGGTGGTGGTGGTGACTGACCAGTGGTGGTTGTGGTGACTGAGCATTGGTGGTGGTGGTGACTGACCAGTGGTAGTGGTTACTGACCAGTGGTAGTGGTTACTGACCAGTGGTAGTGGTGACTGACCAGTGGTGGTGGTGGCTGACCAGTGGTAGTGGTGAATGACCAGTGGTGGTGGTGGCTGACCAGTGGTAGTGGTGAATGGCCAGTGGTAGTGGTGACTGACCAGTGGTGGTGGCGGCTGACCAGTGGTAGTGGTGACTGACCAGTGGTGGTGACTGACTAGTGGTGGTGGTGATTGGCCAGTAGTGGTGGCTGACCAGTGGTGGTG